AAAATAGGCTTACCGATTCACACAATTTTGAAACTAGCTCGATATATTGGGTTGATGAGGAATTTAAAAGTGCTTCAGTGAAACTGTATGGTACACCGTCTACTGCATTGAATTCTATCACAATCAAGAATGTTCTATACGCTACAGAACAAAAAAAATATTTCATGATAATAATAGGCCTATACTCATCCAGAATAGAAACGGCAATCATACAATGAAATAGACCAACAACATATCAAAACAATATATAATAATGATATATACAATTATATAAATCATGATAATAGAGATAAATCGTCTTACGGTAACGCTATAATAAAAGTATCTTTTTGGGGATTCTGCCTTGTTGTCATGCTTATAATGCGGTCATATTGACCTGTTATTTGCCATGCGTCAGGTGCTGTCTAACTACACTTGCTTTAGTTGCTTTAATTGGATTTGAATTCCCAGCAAAGCATCAATGGCCCAGTTGTTTAGGTCGTCTGCATAGACAGACAAGGTCCCGCGCTCTTAAATTCCTCATCTCTGTATGAGGCTTAGGGAGGGGAGTTGTTTTTTGTTGTCAGAAACAATGACAATAATAAATATAATAAATGTTAAAAGGACCATATGTTTTTTCAATAATTAAAAAAAAAACAGCCGTATTGTTAAATTATATGAGTGAACTATGTATGGTTACCTTCAATTGTAACAGTAAATGAGCAATTTGCTAAATTCCCAGAACCGTCAGTTGCATTAAAGTTTACTTCTGTTATACCGAGAGGAAAGGAATCGTTGCTGTTGTAGTTGGATGTAATCGTAGGCGGATTTTGTGAATTATCAGTTGCGTTCACTTGGTCCCAGATTACAAGTAAGCTGGAAACTCCAACAGCACTCTGCATGAAAATGTTACTAGGACAATTGATGACTGGAGGTTCCTGGTCTGTGACAAAAATAATAAAGTTCCTTGTGCCTTATTCAACATAAAATGTATAGGGCCTAATGCAAACATTATAAATATCAACCTCTACAGTTGAATGATGAAGTTGAAAGAGTAGATTATGAAATTTAGAGTTTCATCAGAAAAGTTTACTTTGTGTTGATATGAATTCCAATTTAACAGTTAAATCAATGTTTCTTTTTGTGTACCTACTAAATGTTACCTTACAAAACTATTGTGATAAGTATTATAGTACGTATCAATAACAACAACAATAACAATAATTATAAATGATGATAAAAGTATATTTGAAAGAAATTATATTCCGTCTTGTCTTACCTTCAACATCGACCATGAAACTGCATGAAGCAAAATTGTTAGATGAATCTGTTGCATTACACTCCACTATTGTTTCACCAATTGGAAAAGGAAAACCAGATTGCATGGAACATACAGGTGATATGTCCTCATCTGAGTTGTCTAAAACGACCACTGTGTAATTGTACACTGCAGTTGGTAGACCGTCATCAGTCATTACCGTTTCACTTGTTGGACAGGTTATGTTTGGATTTTCCATGTCTTAAAAAACGAAAATGCTTTTAAAACATCATCCAATCAATCATTATAAATTGTGTACGTTTGTGTACTTATCCTAATACCTTATGGATTACAGGGTGAACACCAAGAAAAATCCAAAAAAATCAGAAGACTCATTTTATATTTATTTAGATTCGGTAACAATATAAAGTAACAAAATATAACCAGACGTGGTATAAGTGGAGAACAAATCCAAAGACCACCCCAATTTTTTAGGTCCCAAAGTGGTCTCGAATTAGAAGGCCTTGCATTTGAGTCCCCCAGCTGACACACAAAGGAATACCAAGGGATCTCCACGTTACAAGGCACAGAGAGTGGCAACCACTATTTTGGCTGACCGTAGGCCTACTATGCTGCATGCCTGTGTATGTCTTATATTAATGTCTCCGCTTGCTTCAACTGAAGGGCTACTGATATGCTGTTAATAATATACATTATAGAGTAGGCCCTATATAACAACAGCATTTTACTGTGAAATTGTTATATTTATGAAACAAATAGATTTTAATATTTAGTATAGTCATCAAATTGCATTAAAATTTAATAATTCCCCCTTATATTCCATATTCCATACTTTATAAAATACACAGTAAATATTTATTTATTTCGTACAATAGATAAGCAATACTAAGTAATGTTTGCATGTCAGTATAATAATAGTCATAAAAAAAACAATTCTGACTTTATTATGGCAAAAAAAGAACGTTTAAAACTTTTTAAGAAGTCAACATTGTTTCCCCATCACAAAATATAATCGGCTGAAAATAATAATGGTTTATAACATTCACAATTTAAAAAATTTTGAATCATAAATCAGAATGTTTTTCTTCTTTAAAGGTAATATGTGCATTCATGGTATTTATTCCACCTGTCATTAAGAAAGCACTTTAATTGTTTCCTGTCTTCTAAATATTAGTACCCTAGTTTTGGAGACACCACTATTAGGGGCATATTTTTGGGGCAGAAAAGTATTGCCTTAATTTTGTTTTATTACTGTTGATTTTATTACTGTAGGCCTATAACAATTTTGAAATTAATAGCTGTCCATAATAGCGTATTTTTATACTTTAGTACTTACCGTATATAGTGACTGTAACAGTACACATTCCTCCGTTACCGGAAGAATCAGTTGCTTGGTATGTAACCACAGTGAGACCAATACCAAATGTACCATTAACTGGAAAATCGGAGGTAATTACAGGAGTTTCACCAGAATTATCTTCAACTGTAACGTTGAATTCTTCTACAGTTTTGGTTGCTTCTCCCGGTGGTGTGTCGGCGGAATAGTTGCCTGGGCATGTTAGAACTGGATTCTCAATATCTTAAAAACAAATTTTACAATTATTATACTTTTAATGCATTACATGTTATTTTTTATTGTCATGTTTAAATAAAAACACCATCGATTCAAAATCCGGATATGCCTTTGTAAAAATATAAATGAGGCATACCGTGTAAATGCGATAAGTGAAAGAGTTGTTTAAATTTTAAAGATATACTGTTTGTCATGAAAGACCCTAAAAAATCAATCAAAATATATTTATAGCTTATTTATAAGGATCAAATAAAGAAATAACTTCCGATAAAACACAAATTAAACACTGATTATCAGACTTTATAGTACCAAAATCCTTAAAGTAGGCGGGTGTACGTACACAGAAGAAAGGATGAACGAAGGAATAGATCAATAGAAGAAGGGTTTGCTTTTTGCCATTCTTTTTGTAAGAGACGTTTCACAGAACCTGAAGACTTACCTTGTTCACAGGCAGTACCACCATATCCAGTTCCAGTACAATCACAGGTTGCAATGTTATTTAATAAATAACATTCACCATTCACGCATGGCTCTAGTAAGCACGGATTATCTAAAAACAATCAATACATTCATTTGTTTATTAATCTTCCACCAAATCAGCAGCAAATATAAACAAACCCATCTCTTACTTCTTTATATACTGTAAAACATTCAACAAGATAGCACAACTGTCAGCATAGGTTCTTAAACAGTATTGCTAGTAGTAGTTCTTACAAAATTGGCTTTCTTGTAAACAAATTCTGCAGACGTCGTCATACATAATTATACAGTACTGTCTGCCCAAGGAACCGTTAAATTACCTGAAAACATCACACATTTACCGTGTGGCGTTTAGCGAGTTGGCTGTGGCGTTGGTGCTACACATGTGACGGCGCATGATGGCCCGAGTGAGACCAGCCATCCTGGCCTAGGCCTAGATACGAGTCTATGCTTATGACGTTAAATTTAATAATATAATTCGGCATCATTATCATTGGCATCCGTCAGTCTTTTCAGACTATGGAGAAGCGCCTGTTGAAGTTGACAGGGAGCAGCGTCTGGTGTGACTGTACAGTCCTATACGGGACTTGCATAATTTGTTGCAGCCCGGGCATTTGAACACTGCTGTGTTTTGGTCAGTTGGTGTTTGTTTTTCTCATAATTTCCTTTTTTCCCGCTTTTCAGCTTGTTCTTTATGAATGGCGACTTTGCCTCTTTCCAGACTAAAAGATAGTTCTTGCTTCCATGATGTTTTGTTGGTTGCAATCGCTTCCCAGGTGTCTGTGTTCATGTTTAGGACTTTCATGTCACGTTTGCATGTGTCTTTAAAACGAAGTTGTGGACGACCTATACTTCTATTTCCAGAAGCAAGTTCTCCGTAGAGTAGATCTTTTGGAATACGGCCGTCCTCCATCCGGCAAACATGACCAAGCCAACAAAGGCGACGTTGGCGAAGCAGGGTGAACATTGATGGAATAGCTGCTTTAGACAGCACATCAGTATTTGTTAATTTTTGTTGCCATGAAGTTCCAAGAATACGGCGTAGACATCTCATGTGGAATGCATTTAGTTTCTTTTCCCGTGTTGAGTATGTTGTCCAAGACTTGCTTCCATAAAGCAGAGTGCAAATTACACAAGCCTTGTAAACAGCTATCTTAGTGGAAATTGTTAAGTGATTGTTGTCCCACACTCTCTTGCTGAGTCTTGAGAGAGTAATGGCTGCCTTGCCAATTCGTTTGTTTATTTCTGAATCAAGTGAAAGGCTGTCTAAGACTGTGGATCCTAGATAAGTGAATTGATGTACAACATCCAGTTGATGGCCTTTTATATTGATAGATGGAGGAACAGGAGTACCTTGCCTCATCACTTGAGTTTTCTTCAGACTGATGGTTAGACTGAAGAGATCGCATGCTGCTGTGAATTGATCCAACAATGTTTGAAGGTCAGCTTCAGAATGTGAGACGATTGCAGCGTCATCTGCAAAAAGCATGTCTGTGATGAGTACTTTCCATATTTTTGTCTTGGCCTTAAAACGGCTGATGTTAAATAACTTTGCCATCGGATCTGGAATGAAGGTATATTCCCTCCGTCGAAGATTTAAAAGCATGCTTGATTAACAATGCAAAAAAGATGCCGAAGAGGGTTGGTGCAAGCACACAACCTTGCTTAACTCCACTGTTAACTCTGAATTCCTCAGACATAGACCCGTCATACTGGACAGTACACATCATGCCATCATGGAAGGATTTTACAATGTCCAAGAACTTGGGAGGGCATCCTATAAGTCGTAACATTTTGAACAGACCATCTCTGCTAACCAGGTCGAATGCCTTAGTAAGGTCACTAAAAGCTAGGTGTAAGGGCTTTCTCTGTTCTCTGCATTTCTCTTGCAACTGACGAATGGAGAAGATCATATCTGTGTATATATATATTATATACATATGTATATCATATATCATATATATGTATATACATATATATGAGAAACTATTCACCGGTTACCTCTATTCAGCGTTTAACGCTTCGTGTATGTACCTTTCAGACGGGGTTTTTTGTTGACACTATTAAAACATGCTGAAATCAGGGAGTTGATATTTATAACAACTCCCTGCTTAAATCAAAGTGCCGTAAGTTATTATATTGGGTTTTCGGCAGGGGTTCATAATAAAAATAAGTTTTAAAAAATAAATAAAAAACAAAATGTCTGAAAATTGAAAAAAAAAAAGATAAAATAGAATACCAAGACGAAATTCGAACTCACGACCTTCAGTTTTCTTATTCCCTTAGGAGACATGGCTAACCGACCGCGCCACCTATGCAACATATCCTATTAGTGGTAATGGCAGTAATGTACAGTCCTTCGATGAAACCTGTTTAGTTTTGAAGGTGTGGGGGAACACTGGGGTCAAACTTCAAAAAAGGACCATGGACGTTTGTTGGAAAATCTTCTAGATTATGTGTAAAAAATTTCCTACACATCCGTTCAAAACTGGCTACGCTGGACACTTTTAAAGTTTGGTAATATTAACAACAACAACAACAGCAGTGAGGTTCTGGGTCCGCCTTACACGGACCCAAAAATACCCCCATTCAATAAGCTTAAAAGAGAACTAGCAAAATGATTTTTTGTTTTAGAGGAGATTTTTGATATGCCATTAATAATAGAATCAACATTAAAATCGTTTTTTGGCAATTGTTTATGAAGTTATAGGCCACTATATACGATTTTACCGTGACGTCACTGGCGAAAAAGTAATAAAAAAATCGTGTAAATAGCGCTGCGTAGGGTAGTTGCTGAGTACGATCTTTACGTGCATGCTGTAACCATGGTTGTTGTAACTTGCAAATAGGCCTATGACGGCATCAGCGGTTGTCAACAGAAGAGTTACACCTATGGTTACAGCATGCACGCAAAGATCGTACGCGGCGGATACCCTACGCAGTTTTATTTACACAATCTTTTGTTACTTTTTTCGCCAGTGACGTCACGATTAAATTGTATATAATGACCTATAACTCCATAAGAAATTGCCAAAAAACGATTTTAAGGTTGATTATATTATAAATGGCTTATCAAAATTCACCTCTAGAACAAAAAATCATTTTGCTAGTTCTCTTTTAATATATCATCCATTATATCAAATGGAAGAGGCCTAAATAGATGGATATGAAGCCCAGAAGTAGGTGTCTGTCCTGAGCAAGCATTTACTAATGAATGCTCTGGCACTCAGTGCCAGTAATATCAACGAGTATAGAATTGCAAGCGGTCCGACTGCACTCACTTTGTATGCAAACAATGAAACGCTCAAAAAGTACTACCAGCAGATAGGGGGCGCCCTATTAGAATTCAAAGTTTTCTCGAAACTTTTTTTTTTAAGGACACGCCCCTTCGTGGTAATATTTTTCAAACAGGATTACGTTCCAACGAAACCAAGAGTCGGACCTCTTGCAGTTTCATACTCTTTGGTAATACTGTATACTAAAAGACTACTAATACTTACAAGTGTCACATGTATCACCCTCGTAAACATCAGTGCAGTTACAAGAGAAGGTGCCATTGCCTAGGTCATTGCAAGTGCCTCCGTTCATACACGCTGCCCCAGAACACGGGTTACCTAAATATTTAATAACAAAATACGATAATTACTTGAAATCATTAGGTAACATATGGCATTCATGTAAATATGTAAGTGGTGAGTGGAAATTTTTGATTCCTAGATGGCCGGAAATGAGCTTTCCCAACTTCTGACGTGTCTTTTAATGACCATTAATTTCTTCAAAAATTCAAGGTCTTCCCCCTCCTAAAAAAGGTCAGTACTGTATTTTTAGGCCTATACCATAGAGAAAAAAAATCAAAGACATAGGCAATATATTATTAGGCCTATATTCGTACAATATTGAGTAGTTGGATACATAGTCTTTCTTCTATACATCAATGAGAAGATAGGCCTGAAGAACACACTTTCGTACATAAATTATTACGACATCGAGCCAAAAAGCATGTTTTTATTTTTATTTAATTGAAGACTAGTTGGGCTAAGCCTAGTTTGTCCGATCTGCCAACCTAGGTTAGCCTGCCTTTTGTAAGCCAGGACCCAGTGTTATTATTTTTTTACATTTCTTCTCAGAGGAGGGTCTTCTGAACTCCGCCACTGCAATCACAGCATAGAAAGTATAGACTATTGGAAAATGGTCTGCATAAGAATAGATCCCGTATCAGTACACCCTTATTTAGATTGAAAACAGACTAAAATTTCTATGAGGTAACAAGTTATTTATCAAAATTTTAATAGTGTGGCAAGGGAATATCAAGTGTCTACATATTCCTGTCAAAATGAAAAACTGAACCAAAATTTCTGTACTAATTTGACCGTGTGACAGCAGCTTTACCTGCTCCTATGTTCGTGTACGTATTAATACATTTTGACTTCTAAATTCAGCACATCTATGTTTTTCCAATTTTTATATTCCAAATAATTAGTATTATACATTTTTTTATTTGTTTATATTTTCGCTGATAAGATCAAATGTCAGAAATTTGTCTTAAGTTAATTGTTTGAGTGTTAGAGATCTGATGTTATATACTTGTCTGTGGGATTTAGAAGGCAATCCCTGATATAGTTATTCATTTCGTTTTGAAAGTTTTTTTTTTTTAATCAAATTGTTTAATAATAATAATAGTATAGTTTTATATGCGCAAATATCCATCTAATGTAAGATGCTCAAGGCGCTTGATTTGGACTAGGAACTCGATCAATGACTTTCTTCGCCCCTAAGGGTCCCTTCGAGTCTGTGCTACTCGGTAACCCAGTACCAGCAACTCTCGTCGTCCACTAAAGTTCATGATGCCTTATGGTCCCGCAATAAATTATATCAAATTAAACAAGAGCAACAGCAATAACAACAATAATTATATTAATCATGTGTGTGGTGAACTTTGCTTAATGAAGGTAAAACAGCAAAAGAAAGCTGAAAATCATGAGGACCCTTGAGAAGTGGGAGTATAAATAATAATATGTATTGTAGCGGCATCTAGTGTTGCAATTATTAAGAAGATACGATCAAAGAGTATAACTATAAAACTGCAAGGCGTCCGACTGCCCTTATTTTGTGTACAGGCAATGGAACGTTAAAAAGTACTCCCACGAAGGGGCGTGTCCTTCATAAGAACGTTAAAGGCGTTCGTATTGAACACATGCACTTTACGTCTTTTAAAGGCCACGCCCCTTTTGGGTAGTACTTTTTGAAATAGGATTGCGTTCAAAAAATCCCCGGCAGTCGGACCTCTTGCAGTTTTATACTCTTTGATACGATCAAGAACTTACGTATGTCACAGTCAGTGCCATAATAGTTGGTATTACTGCAGTCACACGTATAAGTGTCATTCCCATTGTCTGTGCATAATCCTCCATTCATACAGGGTAAAGGAAAACACGGATCATCTGAAAACAAATAAAATATCTCAAACTTATATTTGATTATGGTTTTTTTTAATTTTTTTTTAAACATTATTCCTAATTTGGAATTAAACATTTTGTCTCTGAGCTCCAGAGGACCAGCGGAGGCCATAATGTGGCGCCAGTAGGGCCTACCACATAACCGCTATCCCGCCTAACTCTCATAATTATGTGAGGGTTACTCGAGGAGCCGAGAGGTGAGCCAGATTTGAACCAGGAACATTACTGTACACGCGAACCTCTCGCCTGGCCCGGGCGCACTACTTACGCACGTCCCGAGGTCTGCATGTACCGTTTGGTAGCCTGGTAATATACCGCTTCTCACACTAACTTAACCAAGGGCAACATAAAGCACATTCAAGTAAACTGTAACTTCGCAGAATCCATTTATTAGAATGACAACTTATCGCAAAAGCTCTGATTACTGGAAAAATTGAAGAGCTCTCAACCCTATAACGGTAACCAAAGTGGTGGTTTAACAAACACCATCATCCTACAAATATATGGGAAGCAAAACACAAAATAGCACACAAATAGAACAAAATCATATTCTGGCGCTAACAATTACCTCTCTGTCAAAAACGCAATGAAGTAACAGCTAAAAGATCTGAGTTGGAAGAAAATGGGGAATGAGCTACAGCAATAATAGATATTAAGTATAAAATTTAAAATAAAAGACAAAAATGTGGGCAACACCGTTCACTTCAGGGTGGCGCCAGCGGGGGGGATCTCCTTACCATCGGGGAGAACTCGCCACCCCCCCCCCCCCGTCGGGGAGAAAAAGCACAATTCGTCGGGGAGAAAAAAATATGTATTTTCTACATGTTAGTGGACTCTAAAATCGATTAAATAACCCACAAATTGTCAAAATTGTTGGGGTCTTCGCCCACTGGACCACTTTCGAAAACTTTCAATCGAAGCTTGACCACGCCCACTTTGCTTTCATCGGGGAAATCTGACCCCTCGTCGGGGAATTGGTCGACTCCCCTCCGTCGGGGACCTCGCCCCACCCCACCCACCGTCGGGCAAATCCTGGTGCCACCCTGGTTCACTTACTTAAAGTGGTGGCGCCAGGACCTGCCCGTCGGAGGGGCTAAAGGCCCCGACGGGGGGGGGGACTAGTGCAGCGAATCGAGTCTCACTTGGCTGGGGCCAGGGGGCCGCCTAGGGCCCCCGGTGGGGGCCAGGGGGCGAAGCTCCCTGGAAGCCACGGATATTTGATGAATTATGGCGAAATTTTATTACTTATTTGATAGTTACATATGACTTCATGTAGGTTATGCTTTCTAATGTTGAAATCAGCTTCCAAAACCAAAACATTTTGAATAAAGCAAGAAACAAAGAGTATGCAATGTAACCATCTAATTTAATTTCAAATCCTCATTCTTGAAAGTGAAATTCTATATTTTGGAAATTTTGCATGAAATCTGTCAACCACTCTGTCATGGTCGAGGTTGCTTCACCTATCACGAAGTATTCCAACCATCATGAGGCTATCTAATTGAGCATTTGTCATAACAGAACGCAAGTTATTTTGTTGTGATGATGATGAAAAGTTAACACAAACAATATGGTGGCTACACGAATATTACATGTAATTTTTTTTTTTATTTGTTTGTTCCCCGACAAAATTTATCGTCTTCCCCGTCGGGGAGGGGGAGGGGGGCTATGTTTCCCCGACGGGGGAGGGGTATAGCCCCCCAGCCCCCTCTGGCGCCACCACTGCTTACTTGATTCACACAAGTCTCCTTGCATTCCTGTCCCGGAACAGTCACAAGTTGCTGTCACGTTGTCAGGACTAGTACAAATACCTCCGTTACACGGATTAGGACTGCATGGATCATCTGGAAAAATACAAACATTAGTAATAAATGACTGGTATCAATGATAAATGAAAAAAAAACCAGATTGTTCACCAGATGACTCATGCAGGTGGCTGATTCAACCCTACTTAAATTATGTTTCTCTTTCTCGTCCCCGTGAAATTGCCTTTTTGTGTGGGGTGTGCGATTGCACAATTATTTCAGGGGTTTCAGGGAACCATTGGTTTGTTGTAATTGATTATTAAAAGATATCATTAGAAATAAATTTACATGAAATGCGAGTAGTAGGCCCACATTTAATTAAATTCTATTGGATGAAAGCGGTATTACCTATTGTTATTCATATGCGGACGCCTTTAGTTTTCATCATTTTTTATTTGTGAATATTTATTATTTATATTAATTTATGTTACATTTATATTGTATTTATTCTTATCTTCAAAATATTTACATTTTATTATTTAATTTATGATGTTGTGTTTTTTACTATTTTTACCAGCATGTACACAATAAAAACAAAATAGATAAAAAAAAAATATTGAGACTACCCACTACTTTACTAATTTAAAAGAATTAAATAAAAAAAAAAAAAAATGCGGGGAACACCGTTCACTTACTTGATTCACAAAAGTCTCCTTGCATTCCTGTTCCGGAGCAGTCGCAGATTGCTGTTACCAAATCATTGCTGCTACAAACACCTCCGTTACAGGGATTCGGACTGCACGGATCATCTTGAAATGAAGAAATTCAGTAAATTATAACACAATGGTAAATCAAAAATAATAGACGGATCAAGAATCTGTGGCTTAACAGACAATTTATTCCAGATATTTGATTCATTCTCAGCAACTTTATATTAATGCCAAGGAGACTGATAATTCAGCTAATATTTTTGAAACTTGATTATCCAATGATAACAATAATTCAGCTAATATTTTTGAAACTTGATTATCCAATGATAACAATAAGCTAAATAATAATAAAATGATGATGATTATAATAATAATAATAAAAATAATAATAACAACAATAAAAATAATAACAATTATAATAACAAATAATAATAATAATTATTATAATTATTATTATTATTATTATTATTATTATTATTATTATTATTATTATTATTATTATTATTATAGCAGCAATAATAGCAATAATATTTTATATTCTAATATTTCTGGTACTGTATATTATCAGGTTCTTTATTTTATTAATTATTCTTATTTTATCTTACCCATGTCACAGATATCTCCAACATATCCAGTTCCAGCGCAGTTGCATACATAGCTGTCTGTTCCATTCATTTGGCAAACGCCATTGTTTGCACAAGGACTTGGTGAACACGGATCATCTAGATAGACAATCAACACAGAAATTATAATACTGTATTCTGATTTGGCAGAATGATTGCTGAGTCTGATTGACTTACACTCATAGTAAACTTCATAGCTTAAAATGATAAACCTGAGATTACTTAAACATGTAACCAATACATTGACACAAAATACTAATAGGCTAATAAAAATAATAATAAGGCTAATAATAATAATAATAATAATAATAATAATAATAATAATAGGCATAATAATAATAATAACAACAACAACAACAACAACATCAATAATAATAATAGTAATAATAATAATACACGGCCGGCGGAACGTTTTTCAAAGTGAGGGGGCCCACTTATAAGATGAATGGGAATATGAATCATGCAGATCTGGAATCAAATCTAGGTGGTGGGGTCAACATTCCTTCCCCGGGAAAATGTTGATTTCTAGATGCCGGGAAATGACCTTTCTCGCTTTTGAGCTAGGTGTCTAATGACTTTGTTTTCAAGGTTTTCCCCCTCTTGAAAACGGTAAGGTAAACTTTCTCATTACAGTAAATAGACCTGTTATATGTGTATACATACATTTAAAAAAATGAGTAGTTATTTTTTTCATGAATCGATAAATCCCAAAAAGAAAGGGGGTCCGGGGGTTTTCCCCAGTAAAATTTTGATTCCTAGAAGGCGGGAAATGAGCTTTCACGACTTCTGAGGTGTCTTTTAATTACTTTTAAGTTCTTCAAAATTTAAGGCTTTCCCCTCTTGAAAACGGTCAGGTAATTTTCCCCATTGTTATTACAGTAAATAGGCCTTATGTGTGTATACATACATAAAAAAAAATGAGTAGTTGCATACGAATTTTCCATAAATCGATAAATCCCCAAAAGAAAAGGGGTCCGGGGGTTTTCCACAGTAAAATTTTGATTCCTAGAAGGCGGGAAATGAGCTTTCACGACTTCTGAGGTGTCTTTTAATTACTTTTAAGTTCTTCAAAATTTAAGGCTTTCCCCTCTTGAAAACGGTCAGGTAATTATCCCCATTGTTATTACAGTAAATAGGCCTTATGCGTGTATACATACATAAAAAAAAAATTCAGTAGTTGCATACGAATTTTCCATAAATCGATAAATCCCCAAAAGAAAAGGGGTCCGGGGGTTTTCCCCAGTAAAATTTTGATTCCTATAAGGCGGGAAATGGGTTTTCCCGACTTCTGAGGTGTCTTTTAATTACTTTTAAGTTCTTCAAAATTTAAGGTTTCCCCCTCTTGAAAATTATTATAATGAATCAATAAACCCAAAGAGAAAAGGGAGGTTCAGGTTCTTCCCGTGAAAATATTGATTTCTAAATGGTGGGCAATCAACTTTCCAGACTTCTGAAGTATCTTTTAGCGTCTTTAATTTAAGTTCTTCAAAATTCAAGGTTTTCCCCTCTTAAACGGTCAGGTAATTTTTTTTTCCCATTGTTATTACAGTAGATAGGCCTTATGTGTGTATATATACACACCAAAAAAATGAGTAGTTGCATACGATTTTTTTTCCATGAATCGATAAATCCCGAAAAGAAAGGGGGGTCCGGAGGTTCTCCCCCGAGAAAATTTTGATTCCTAGAAGGCGGGAAATGAGTTTTCCCGACTTCTGAGGTGTCTTTTAATTACTTTTAAGTTCTTCAAAATTCAAGGTTTTCCTCTCTTGAAAATAATTATAATGAATCAATGAACCAGGTTCTTCCCGGGAAAATGTTGATTTCTAAATGGTGGGAAATTAACTTTCCCAACTTCTGAAGTATCTTTTAGCGACTTTAATTTAGGTTCTTTAAAATTCAAGGTTCCCCCTCTTGAAAACGGTCAGGTAAATTTTTCCCATTGTTATTACAGTAGATAGGCCTTATGTGTGTATATATACACAAAACAATTGAGTAGTTGCATACGATTTTTTTTTCCATGAATCGATAAATCCCAAGAAAGGGGTGGGGGGGTCCTGTGGTTCTTCCCCGGGAAAATGAGCTGTCTCGACTTCTGAGGTGTCTTTTAATGACTTTCAAATTCTTCAAAATTCAAGGTTGTTCCCCCCCCCCCCTCTTGAAAAGGATTCAATTAATCAATGAACTCCAAAGATAGAGGGGGTCCGGGTTCCCCCGAGAAAATTTCGATTTCTAGGTGGCGGGAAATGAGCTTTCCAGACTTCTTAAATGTCTTTCAATGGCTTTTAAAGTTCTTCAAAATTCAAGGTTTCCCCTCTTTAAAACAGTCAGGTAAATTTTTCTCATTTTTTATTTTATGTGTGTATACATACATAAATAAATGAGTAGTTGCATGCGTATTCTTTTCCATGAATCGATAAATCCCAAAAAGAAAGGGTGGTCCGGGGGTTCTCCACCGGTGTAAAGTTTGATTCCTAGATGGCGGGAATTTAGCTTTCCCGACATTTGAAGTGTGTTTTAATGA